GAAGGAACTACTGAAGCAGAAGCGCATCCTCATCGGAGAGCAAGTGAACAGCGTCAACCGGCCTCAGTTAGACTTGATTTATGACAGTCTGAAGAAGTTCTCAAGTTTTGGTTTTGCTTGCTGTCCAGCAAGACTGTTAGTCTGCTTTTTGTTACACTGACCGGTGGTGGGGGCCCACATCCACTATGTCCTAAGTTATCGAGCGTCATGCTCGGCTCACGCAATTGCCAGAGGTTATGTTGCAGTTTGGGATGGGAGGAAAGTGACGTGTTGCATGTACGTGCCTTGGTGATTGTGCACGTGCTGTTGGTGTCGCATGCTGTCTTGGTTCGCACGGTGGTCGCCTGCTGCGTGCTGTCGTGGACGCTCTCGTTTACGCATGCTGCATGCCCTTGTGCCCTCCCAAGGCAGCGCGTTGTGTATGGCCAGTTGTCAGACAATGAGTCCTTTACTTGTGTTAAGGAATGAGTGCCTAACCTAATTAGACCGGGTACTATTTTCTGAATAAACTACAGTTTTTGGCAGCCGTCACAGCATGTACTGGCTGCTGAATGTCATTGCAACATAAGTTGTAGTCGGCTTTTCGTTACTTATGTAACCGTGTATTGCGGGTACATCCTCTTGGTGCTGAAAGTAATGGATGGGGATGTGTGTAGGTTAATGGATGATTGGCGTGATTGGCGTATTGAAGGGAACATTGAGATGCATGCCGTTCTATGAAAGTTTGACGCATTTACATCTTTGTTAACAAATCCCTATAATTCAGAAATCAGAGTATACCTGTAAATATAGCATCGCATTACGCTGGTAAGCAAAAGCAGACTGAAGACTTGCACTGTTACGCGTCATAAGGGTAATTTCACCCGTGTAATGCGCTGTTTTTAACTCGCGTTTAACTCGCGTTTTTTTTCTCAAAATACCGTCTAAACAACGCGGCACAGCCATGTTGAACTTTTATGCTCATAGCCGATGAAATTGTTGTCCTTTGGATACAAAGATAAGACGTTAGTTTTCGAAGTTGTTGACCTATCGTAGGTAGTAATCTATGCCCCTCATAGAAGGCATTTCTAAGGCTATCATTCAACCGGATGCGACATCGGAGTGTTGAACGAAACACTTATCTTTGAAACAGTTTCTTTGACACTAAGACAAGAAAACTCAGGAATGCAACTTATTCTATTGGCTTTGGGTCAGGTATGAAGATCAGTTCAAGGTCTAAATCAAGCTTGCTTTTCTACTGGAGACGTTACTTTTGGGGGGAGGGGTGATCTTTGACGCTCATTTTTGATTTGCTGGTCCCAGAGAGCTAAAAATGTGTTATCTGAAAGTAATTAAGGTCAAAAGAGGTCACTTACCTAGAATAACCGATCAATTTTGGGGGTTAGGAACAAAACACCTCGTGCAATCCTTGCTGTTCATTGAAATTAGGAAATAGCGCTATCTCGCAGGTTGCGGTCACTATGAATTTTGGAGGATAAATAATGTCGCTGACATTAAATGATCACTAGTGACCTTTTGCTTAGTAGAGGTAACTATTTTCAAGGTAGAAACAGTGTTATTCACCAACGCCGTCGCCTGTCTCACCAAACTCCCAGCCTGCCAACCTACCCCACCGACCCGAGCGCCGTCTGCTTTACTAACACTTTTGTCCACTGCACAGGCGCCTGCCAGCCTGCCAACCTACCCCACCGACCCGAGTGCTGTCTGCTTTACTGGCACCACTGTCCACTGCACCGGCGCCGCTTTCAACGTGCAGGCCCTGTCGCCCGTTTGCTGATCCTGCTGTTTGTTTTACTGACCTTATCCATTGTTGTACTGACGTCGTCGTCCTCTCTAAAAAGTCTACCACCCACTGCACCGATTCTACCGTCTGCCGACGCGCCCCTTCCGCAGCGTTCCAAAATTAATTTAGTTGGATGTCAGGGACCTCACCATAAAAACATACTTGAGACTTCTGGCTTCTCAGCGGTCTCTGCACCCTTAGCATTTTGTTGGCCGTTGGCCTTTGATTGCCGCCCCTGACATTCTGACCTGCCCGCCCAACTTGTCAGCCCCGAGGCACCTATACGCTGGATTGACTTCTATTCGGCTCGATGCTGATTGGCTGACCTTGAGCCAGGGGACGAGCAACAAACAATGAACACCAAATGGGGGAAGGAGCAATAGCATGGAAAATATCGACGTGCTGCTGCCGTGCGCTCTTGGCTTGGCTTGTGCACCTAGCGACATCTCGTAGACGATGACGTAATTAGTGATTGCGGCGACCGTGGCCGGCCAGGTCGCAGCCCATCCGGTGGCGCGGTAGAATACGGCCTCACGGGCACTGGCTCGGAGGTGATCGAGATGTTGAAGTTGAGGCGCCGAGCTAGGCGCAGTGTCCCTAGACAGATGCTAAGTTGAAACGCACCAATACAGAGACTGCTTGCATTCATTGTTGTTACGCGCTCACCGCGGAACAAAACGATAAGAGCTTAAGGTTGCGATGCTTGCCGCCGAAGTGGCCGAATAATGCTACACTTCCCTTCTATCTGTTGTATGAATCCCACACCGCCCTCTGCGTCGACCCTGCCGTCTTTTGCACGGATCGCAATGTCTGCTGCAGTGACCCCGCGGCCTTCTTGTCCGACTCTGCCGTCTTCTATATGGACTGTCCCTCTTTCGTCTGCTGTACCGACCCTGCGACTTGTTGCCAAAAGCTGTCGGCTCGGCAAAACAGCTTCCGCTTTCTGCTGTGCCGACTCGGCCAACGAGAATGCCTGAAAGCTGCTGTTCGATCACCGGGTGAAACTGGGGGATAACTACCCGTTGGCATAGGGATCCCGCACGATAACTACTCGTTGACATAGGAGACTGGGTGATAACTACCCGTTGACATAGGGATCTGGGTGATAACTACCCGTTGACATAGGGATCTGGTTGATAACTACCCGTTGACATGTGGATCTCGCACGATAACCACTCGTTGACATAGGGGTCTGGGTGATAACTACCCGTTGACATAGGGACGGCTGGGTGATAATTACCCGTTGACGTGGGGATCTCGCACGATACTGTATGCTGGTGTGTTGTGTACAGACGAGCTAAGTTGTCCGCGCTGATCATGTACGGAATTTTTGCAGGAGATGGTATTGCGCAATCACGCGGACGTGAGCGGCACTGGTTCGGCTAATACCAGACCGGACCACGACCTGCTTCATCTCCTCGGTCGGAGACGGGCATTCTTAGTGAGCAGAATGTAACGCATTGTCGTGGGAAAAGTGAAAAATAAAAGTCATCCAAAAGGAGAAGGGCTGTGAAGGCGGAGCAAAATTCCTGCGTAAATTTTAGCGTTTCTCAACCAGGTGGGCCATCGGACGCACACCACCTTGTTTGTTTTTTTTTCTCAGTGTAACTTGTCCGCGCGTTGCGCGCATTGGCGGTGGCGGTGCAGGTGTTTTGCATGTGATGGCCCTTACCATCAATAATCACACAGCAATTGCCCAGGGTGTCACGCTTGGGGGCGGTAAAAATTGGTTTCACATCATATATCGCCGAAAACGTAACACGATTGGGGCGCAATTTAAACCAAGGTGTGCCCGACGCGCCAACTGGTAACACACACACACACACACACCACAACACACACACACACACACACACACACACACACACACACACACAACACACACACACAGCACCACACACACACACACCACAACACACACACACACACAACCAACCACACACACACACACACACCACACAACACAAACACACACCACAACACACACACACACACACACACAACACACACACCACACACACACCACACACACACACAAACACACACACCACCACACACACACACACACAACACCCACACACACACACACACAACACACAACACACACAACACACAACACACACACACACACACACACACAAACACACACACCACACACACACACACACACACACACCCACAACACACACACACACACACACACACACCACACACACCACACACACACACACAAAACATCAACACACACACCAACACACACAAACACAACACACACACACACACACACACAACACACATCACACAACACACACCACACACACACACAACACACACACACACACACACAACACACACACACACACCACACACCACACACACACACCACACACACACACACACACACACACACCACACACACACACACACACACACACACAAACACACACACACACACACACCACACACACACACACACCACACACACACACACACACACACACCACACACACACACCACCACCACACACACACACACACACACACACGAAGGAGCTTTTATGTATCTAATGCTGGTACAATTCTAGAAAAATGTCATACTGTCGTTACCAGTAGCATAGCAAATATTTTTCAAGTCTTCGATCTGGTCAGTATTATCCAAAACTTGGTCAGGTTGCAATTTTTTAAAGCGTTCTTCAATATATCCATGTTGCGCTTGCCTGTGTTTCCTTTAGACAGCGTAAACCATCCCAGCCGGAAAGGCTTCCTAAGCGGGGCGGGGCGGGGATAACATGCCATACGGGTGGTGTCAGGTGTCAGGCCTGTAGTCCCCCATGACCCGCTACATTGATAATCATAGCATTTAGTCTCATTCCATCAACATTAAATTAACATTTCTGGAGCACTTTCAAAATCGCGCCGAGTCACGACACAGGAACTGTTTGCAACTCAAAATGTTGCGAATTAATGCTGCTGCTGATCTTTACCCAGGTATCCTCTCATGATGTTGGAAATTGTCCAGCTGCAGCTGCCAGCATTATTTGATGGGTGGGCCAATCATCTCAACCACTAAAACTTATTGGTCCTTCGCGGTCGGTACATTCTGTTTGCCAAACAGGTAAGACTCACTCGGCCTCGCTCGTAATATACACTGGGATTTTGCTAGGGCGGTTGAAAACCCAGTGTTGAAAGTCATTTTCATACGACACTTATTTTACGGGTTTCAGTTACATTTTGTCACGTGCTTACGACGAGAATCAAGCTTTGTGGAGAAATTCTAAGAAGCATAGCATGAGTTTATAGAAAGCGGTGCCGAACGATTCATCCACCGTGCCGTACATCAGATGATCTGCCATTTTGAAGCTTCGGCTTATTTTGATGCCTGTCATATTTGTGCCTCGCATGTTAGCATCTTTTCTTCCCAGCAATCTCATTTCAATACAGGCTGGTTATCCAGCTCGTGGGTTAACTTCTTGTTGAGTAAGCGGCAAGATTTAAAAAAGCTTGGCGAACGACAAGATTTGTTAGATAAGATTGTAGCGAAAACAGCTCGTCTGTGCCATCAGGTAATTTTTCACAGGTCTGCTCCCAGGTAAAGAAAGTGCTCATTGTCCTCTTTGAAATCTCTGTTGTATACCGCCCAGCTTGGTGCTTAGAATCTCGGCAGCTGTGTTGACAGCACTTTTTAGTTTTGGTGGACAATTTTAAAATGCAATGCAAAATGTTATATTCATTGCGTTATGATTGCTCATTGAGTGAGATAGTCAGTTGTACTTCGCCCTCAGACGCCCGATGAGGGGAGTCAGTTTATTGTGTAATTTGTGTCCTAGATCATTGTTATGAGATATATTGATTTCATTTGTTTTATACTGTAGGCTAGCGTGATTTTTTTTAAACGCCATGAAATCAGGTTGTCCAACGTCAAAATGTGTCAAATATCTGAAAATGGAACTATCTTTGAGATGATGCTTAATTTTAGTGACCTGGTTTAACATATCTTACATAACACAAAGAACAGTTTATGTTCCTTGAGCGATGCTAACGTTACTGACGTTATCTAGCGTCGCTTATTTCATTTCGTGTGGCTTTAATTTCGTGAGATTATGAGGTGGAGCCTATGCAAACTAGGTCAGATTCACTGAGCCTAGTGTCACATGTCACAAGCCGCACTCATGTCACCATACTTTTGATGCACGATTTAATCTGTCAAGAGCCACCCAACGTCGTTTTCTGTGCTAGGAGCTACCCAATTTCTGTCACCAACGGACTTTTATTAGTTCTCGCCCAGTGTAATGTGTTTAGTGGAAATTTCGAACATAAATCTCGTCTTATACAGGACGTCTTAATCACGTCTTATGCAGGACGTTGAATATGGTCCGAATTATGACGGGAAATAAGACTGTAAATCGAGTATTCTTAGAAAAGCGCCATAATCGAGTAGGTGAATGCAAGTAAATGATATAAAATACCGGAGAAATTTTTAAAAAACAATGAGAAAGGGCCAAAACGCGCGTACATAACGATATTTGAGCTTTGCAAATGTCGCACCGATTAGTAAGACACATCTCGAAAATTGTAAGTACTATAAGTGAGTGAAACTGTCCGCTTCAGTGGTAATTTCACACGGCCAGCTTGGCAACCATCCTGATGTTATGTAACGGTTGGATGACGCAATTAAATGACAGTCATGACACCGGCGAATTTAGAAGCACATTTACTTTATGATAAAATATCCGTTTCTGGAGCAGTCCTTTGCACTTAAAAGAATACCAACAGTTAGTGAGCTCATTCCATCATGTACGATCCTTGTCTCAAAACCATCAAGTGCGGAATTCCTTTCACAGAAAATGTTCCACAGCCAGGGACGTAACCAAATTTTTCTTAAAGTTCCACAAAAAATATTGAATGACCCCTGAATTGAAAGCCAGTGCAGACCGAAACGAAGTAAAAAATGTGTATTCATCTCTGACCCTCGTATGCCTGGGGAAGTTCATCCTTGCGTTAGAGGCCAGAAGCGAAAATAAGTTAAGATAGTTTTAAGCGTGCGCGCGTAAAGCGTAAGAGAAAAAAACACCAATGCCCGTCGTTGTAATCATTGTGCTCCATGGGCCACATGCAGTGAGAGTAGATGAGATTTCTAGGGCAATGTTCAGCAATCCTTCACAAGAGAAGGTTGCACCCAAAAGATCATAGCGAAGTTTTAAACGGCAGCAACTGTCGAATCGTGTGATCGTGACTCAAGATGCTCAGGGTGGTATACACCCGGCTGTAAGCAGAGCTCAAGCCCAACGTACAAAAAGTGAGGCGTCTGACCGACCAACCAGCACGTATCAATGCGCAAAATGGGATAAATCTGTCAGCTAGTCGCGGTTTTCAGCTCGCAAAGATCGGCACACACTCCAGTCTCCACGGTTTCTCCGATCCCAAATTCCTTCACAAAAACCTCGTCCAACTGGTTTGTTACGCCCTAGATCTGATCTGCCCAGTTGGATCCGAGGATGCCCGCAAGAGTGATGGAGAGAATGGCCGCAAAGCCCGTCGTCTCCGTGTCGTGGGCGATAGGCCAGTTGGTCCAAAATAACCGTCAATATTAGACTTACGGTGCCGCAAGACAGCGAACACGTCATTCTTCTGAGACCTGGACATGTCAACATCCGACAAGTCCACCGCACTTATCTAGCAGTGTTTAGGATAGGTTTCACAAGAATGGAGCCGTCAGAGGCACACGAATAAATAAAACCAGTGAGGAGCACTTGAGTGCACGTTGGCATAGACAAGGAGTTCAAAATCGCCCACGGACACTGTTTCGGCTAATACGGTCCTTACCAAGCTGTTAGTGGTCGGCACTGTACACTCTTGACGGCAGGCAAGAGATACAGTGTCTAGTAGCCGGCACTGTACACTCCTGACGGCAGGCAAGAGATACAGTGTCTAGTAGCCGGCACTGTACACTCCTGACGGCAGGCAGGAGATGCAGTGTCTAGTGGCCGGCACTGTACACTCCTGACGGCAGGCAGGAGATGCAGTGTCTAGTAGCCGGCACTGTACACTCCTGACGGCAGGCAGGAGATACAGTGTCTAGTAGCCGGCACTGTACACTCCTGACGGCAGGCAGGAGATACAGTGTCTAGTAGCCGGCACTGTACACTCCTGACGGCAGGCAGGAGATACAGTGTCTAGTAGCCGGCACTGTACACTCCTGACGGCAGGCAGGAGATACAGTGTCTAGTAGCCGGCATTGTACACTCCTGACGGCAGGCAGGAGATGCAGTGTCTAGTAGCCGGCACTGTACACTCCTGACGGCAGGCAGGAGATGCAGTGTCTAGCAGCGGAGGCGTCTGAAGAAGCAGTCCGAGCACGCGTCCTCACAGCGTCGAACCAGCTGGATCGGCGGGACATGCTCTAAGGAGACTGAGAGGCGGACTGGCAAACATAGGTGGTCGGAAACAAGCGCAGCACATGGCAGGCAGCACATGGCAGCAGACACAAGCAGCGCGCACCGGCAGTCAAGGTCGCGCGGTGCTACGGGTGGACACCGGCCAGACAGCACCACGCACACACACACATACGGGCGCACGCACGCACGCACGCAAAATTCCGCGTCTGTGAACGCATGCACACATGCATGTACGCCAGCTTCAGGACACGCAAAAACGGTAGACCCAACACAAGGGCAGCCACTAGCCACGTAACAAGCAGGAGCTCGGGGGGGGGGACCTGCAAATCCAGCTATGCACCGACCATAGACTGTCATAAGGCACCTGCCAACCCAGCGATGCATCAAGCGCGGCATTGCGCAATCAGACACATGCGAGCCGTAGCATCAAGTTTGGGTGATGGAATACGCACATCAAGGACAGGCCTTGAGCGTGGTCCGTCACGAGCAATGCAAGCTACAGTGCGAAGGAGGGATGATAGTCCCGCTGCTAGCGCATGAAGCCCTGCCGATTCCTGTGCTACGCGGTGAGCCCGTGCCGACCGCACATGTCCGCCATCCCACAGTCACGCGGCTCACAAGAGCGGTTACGTGACTGTGCTCTAGTGCTGCAGTGCTGCATCGGTGCGGAAAGGTGAAGGTGACGTGATCGCTCCCAAGCTCCCAAAAAAGCCGCATCGCAAGCAACCAAGCAGAATGGGTAAATGCAGAGGAATGTGGTATCTCGGCACGCTTCAATCGGCTAAGGAGAAAATTATTCCGCCACGGATCAGGAGGTGAACCTGTTATTGCACTCTGGGCACTCTTCAAACAAAGTTATTTACTACCTAGGCCACACACTAGACGCAACATGCGTCTGCCAAGTTTTTGTAAATGATGAAGGCTGGACTAGAAGTGACAGACTCGCAATGAGTTAGCATGCATCAAACACAGATGAACAAGCTTGCGCATGTGCCAGCGGCAATGCGGCATTGCCCGGGTCCCACGTTACGCGTGTTTATTGCTTTGCCTGGAGTGATCAGAGTTTTAAGTCAGCACCAAATTGCTTTCCATAATTTGCGCTAAGCACCGAAACCGAAATGCACCGAAATGCTTTTGAACCATAAACAGAAGTTAAAACAAAACAGTTAAGACAGTTAAAGTTAAAACACACGGTAAGTAGACAAACTTTTATGAAGTTCTGGGAATATTTTTGGGGGGCCAAAACATACTCTCAGAGTATTTGGGCGTCATGGTCCCTTGCCCCCCACCCCCCCCCAGGATCCCCCTATGAATACCATAGGTGAAAAATATCACTCATTGTGCCTTCAGGAGGTCCAAGTGACCAAAAACTTAAGATTGTTTTGATACTCGAATTTAATGCGTCTTAAGGATAACGCTAGGCAGTATCTTCTTACAAACGATAGGTTGATCGAAATTATGTTTGGTCGGTGATCTCCTCTGACCTTTATGGAGTGCAAATCAGATGTCCGTTGATATTCCTGTAATCAAGAAACTCGAAATGAGCATCAATAACTACCTCATAACGAAAACACTCCCCCAGTGAAAAACAATTTAATCGTGACTTCTGACTGATCTTAACACGCGCTTGGGTGGGGGGTCAAATTGCCCCCCCCCCCCCGAAGTTTTTTCAAGAATGGATTCCGAACTGCGCGGCGTAGCCGCGCCAAATTGTGCATAACTGCAAACATTGAATAGCGGATCGTCTGGCATCAAAAATTTAGATATACCTTGTAGGGTCGCTGACGTATGGCAGATCAAAGTCAGGTTATGGTCTCAGCGAAGTCCATTTCTAGGGAATCGTTCAATCTGATGCAACAACGGAGTGTTACACGAAGCCATACCTTTCTGGGATGATTTCTTGGGCAACACAACAGTTGAGTGAGCAAATTCAATTGACTGAAGGCCAAGTATGAAGGACGAACCCAACCTGTTTTCTTACTCTAGGGCTGGCCGTATGGGATAGATTCTGGTGCCCACTTCGAATTAATTGTTAGCAGGAACCGCATTATACATCTTCCATGAGCTTCTTATAGGTCAGAATAGGCCATTGACTTAAAATGACCCCGGTCAATCTTTGTTTTAGGAACATACTGCCTAGCGTAATCTTTATCGCTTAGTCAAATGCAAAACTCAAAGCAATCTTGTATGATTTTGGTCACGTTGACCTTCAAAAGGTCAAACAAGGTCACTGACCTTGAATGAGGCTGTGACCTTTTGCTTAGAAACGGTTGTCTAGGTTCTGGGGGCACTTTGGAGACCAGCCTAGAACTTGACCTTGTTTGACCTTTTTGACCCGATGATCATGACCTAGGAACCTGAAACTTTGACCTAAGTGAGTTCACGTACATGTCTGCACACTGTAAATTTAGCGTCTCTACCTTTTTTAGTTCCCGAGATCTCAGGGGGTCAAATTGACCCCCACCCCCACCCCCCCGAGCGAAGGGTATCCAGCCGGCCACCCGGCCGCGTGTTAATACCCAACCCGAGGTCAAGGGTGTAAGTTGTTTTCCTAGATTTAATGGGCGAATTATTTACGAAGGCATTTCAAATATTAAACCTTCGTTTAACACTCCGCCGTTGCATCAGATTAAACAACTCCCAGGCGTGGCCTTCGCTGACAGGCAACGCCTGACTTCGCACCGTACCCGGAACAGCACCTGGCGCTACTCTATATCACCACATCTCAGCGGGCCATAAGAAAACCGGCCAGAGCCGCGTCGAGGGATGAGACCGTCATCAGTTATAGTGACGTCACGACGAAGCGGGACGCGGCCGGTGCCTAGCCTGACGCCGCGTCCGCCGACACCAGTTCTGTCCGGCAGCTCGCCAAGCCAGCACCATGCCCGTCTGGAACACCGCTCGCGAGGGCCTCGGCCTGCAGGAGGTCACCCGCGGCTGCGACCTGTGGAAGGCGCTGCTGGCCGAGTTCATTGGCACGCTGTTCCTTGTGTTCCTGGGCTGCCTGAGCACCATCCCGTGGCCCGACGAAGGCTACCAGGCGTCCATGGTGCAGATCGCCATCGCGTTCGGCATCACCGTCGCCACCATGGCGCAGGTGAGATACGCCTGCAGTTCTTGTTCTCGCTGCGGCGATGCAAGGGGGTGCAGCGCAAACGCAGCGACAGCCCGGTTACGTTCAGCTGTGTGGTCACCAGGCGTCGGCATCGCGGTCCCGTCCGCTATCACCGTGGAACCGAACAAATCTGATATATATATATATATATATATATATATATATATATATCAGATGATCATTATGAGCCCGAACAGAGAGCAACGCATCATTCGTGCCTTGTTTTGCCATGGAATACGTTGACCGCCCAGTCGTCGCAGTTAGGAGAGCAAAGCTACCTTCCCTGAGAAGGCGCGGTGTTTGAACTCGCTTTGGAAAGCGTGCACACACAGATGCTCACAGCTGGTAATGTGAGCAACGATGCACCGAACATGTACAGCACTCTCGGTGGTTTTCTGCCATGGAATGTGCCTTTAATGTAAACTGGCAACACGTGTGCGCGGACGAAATGCGTGGGATGTGACTGTGAACCTGGACAGTGGTGTCGGACAGGCGAACCAAACGGGATGCTGGGAGACATCGGTTGCCTTCGAAAATAGAGCAGTCACAGGCGAACATAAGTCACCATTAATTGGATTCAAACAGTTAATACGCGCTCGGGGGGTCAAATTGACCCCCCCCCCCCCACCCCGAAGGTTTTTCCAGAATGGTTTCCGAGCGGCGCGGCGCAGCCGCGCCAAATTTTGCATGGCTGTAGACAGTTAAATAGCGGACCATTTGCCATCAAAAATTGAGATACACCTTGTAAGGTAACTGACCTATAGCAGGTCAAAATCAGGCCATGGTTTCCGTGGAGGCAATTTCTAGGGAATTGTTTCATCTGATGCAACAACCAAGTGTGAGGCGAAGCCACACATCTCTGAAATGCTTTCTTAGGCAACACAAATATTAAATGAGCAAATTGCGTTGAAATAAGTCCAGGTATAAAGATCAGACCAAGGTTAAAACCAGCCTGTTTTATTACTCTAGGGCTCGCTGTATGGGATTGATGTTGTTGTGCTCATTTCAAATTCATTGGTAGCAGGAACTGAATTATACATCTTCCGTAGACTTCTTAGAGCTTAAAATAGGTCACTGACCTAAAATGAAGCAGGTCAACATTTTGTTTTTAGAAACACACTGCCTAGCGTAATCTTGTCGCTTATTCAAAAGCTAGACTCAGAGCAGTTTTGTATGATTCCTGTCACCATGACCTTCAAAAGGTCAAAAAGGTCACCGGCCTTAAATCAAACTGTGACCTTTTGTTTAGAAACAGTTTTTTAGGTTCTAAGGGCACTTTGAGGACCAACCTGAAATTTGACTTTGTTTGACCTTATTTGACCAGAAGGTCATGACATAAAAACCTCAAACTTTGATATAAGTGATTTTACGTACAGGTCAACACACCCTGTAAATTTAGTGCCTCTAGCTCTCTTAGTTCCCGAGATCTCAGCGCGGTCAAATTGAACACCCCACCCGAGCGAAGGGCATCTAGCCGGCAGCCCGGGCGCGTGTTAAAGGGCATTATTTTCCCTTATGGTTGTGATCTGACAGTGGTATGTTCATCTGCCCTCGGAATGAAATGTGACATTACCATACTCGTGTCTATGCGTCTGTTTCTTGCAGTCTCGGTTTGTGTCGATTTATGACAATGAAAAGGCATTTCGATGTAAACAGAATTGTCAGACTGACAGGTCGTGTTGTCTAAGCCCATAGGTACCCATATATATTGGATAATGGGCTGGACTGGGTATATATTTTCGGAAAATTACAGGCATGCTTAAGGTTATGGGTAACACATTCATGAGATATGGGACAGATTCTTCATGAAATACCGTTCATTGTTATTGCTTGCGCCTGTAAAAGTCATAAAAAGTTCCATGTATCACTATTTCAATTATTAACTCAAAAGAGTAAGGTTTGGTGTAAGCGTTGAACCAGCGCTTGAAAAATGGAAACGGATGGGTAACGGGTGGGCACAGGTGATTGGGATGGTTAACAGGTGTGTATGGTCAAGTCCCATAGCTAGTGAATGCATTGTGTAAAGAAAATGTTACCCATAAAAGCCTGTTAGGCTTTTATGGGTAACAGTTAAGCAAGGGGTTCAAGTTTACAAACTGTCAGAGAGAGAGAGAGAGAGAGAGAGAGAGAGAGAGAGAGAGAGAGAGAGAGAGAGAGAGAGAGAGAGAGAGAGAGAGAGAGAGAGAGAGAGATATATATATATATATATATATATATTGGTGAGGCATATATATATATATATATATATATATATATTATTACCTCACCAATATATATATATATATATATATATATATATATAATATATATATATATATATAATATATATATAGAGAGAGAGAGAGAGAGAGAGAGAGAGAGAGGAGAGAGAGAGAGAGAGAGAG